GCCGGGGCGCCGGGGCGGGGGGGCGGGGGGCCGGGCCGGCCGCGCCGGGCCCCCCCCCCCCCCCCCCTCCCCCCGGGGGAGGAGGAGGAGGAGGAGGGAGGAAGGCTGAGGGGTGAGCGCCGCTCGCAGCCCCAAATCCGTCTCCATCCTCAGTTCTTAGCGTTGTCTTCCTCATCGCGGCCTTCATCCCCACCCCCTGTGGGGCCTTTGGCTTCGGTGTCACCTTCCTCATCCTCACCATCCTCCTCGAGGCCTTCATCTTCAGCATCATCTTCCTCATTCTCATCGCTTTCCTCATCCTCACCATCCTCCTCACCCTCACCGTCCTCCTCGTGGCCTCCATCCCCATCCTCCCCTTTAGGACCTTCATCCCCTTCTTCCTCAGGGCCTTCATCCTTAGTGCCATCTTCCTCACCGTCCTCCTCTTCAGGGTCTCCATCATCATCTTCCTCACCGTCATCTTCCTCCTTGGGGCCCCTCGCTGTCACCTACTTGGTGTTGCCTTCCTCCTCGCTACCGTCCTTGGGTTCTTCCTCTTCCCCCTGGAGGCCTCCATCCTCTTCCTCCTTGGGACCTCCATCTTCATCCCTAAGGCCCTCCATCCTCTTCCTCCTCACCATCTTCTTCCTCTCTGGGTTCTTCATCCTCTTCCTCCCTTGACTCCGCCCCATTCCTACTCAGTGTCACCTCCACCCTCTTCCTCAGCGCCTCCATCGTCACCTCCATCTTCCTCCTCGAGGCCACCGCCTTCCTCCCCACCGCACTCCTCCTCTTCCTCCTCCCCACCGCACTCCTCCTCTTCCTCCTCCCCACCGCACTCCTCCTCTTCCTCGGGTCCTCCATCCTCCTCCTTGGCTTCTTCATCCTCATTACGGCCTCCATCATCCTCCTCGCCACCCTCCGCCTCCTCGGGCCTCCCATCTTCCTCCTTCCTCCCACCATCCTCTTCCTCTTTGCGTTCTTCGCCCTCTTCCTTCTCCCCCGCCACCCCAACACACGCCGGCGGGTGACAGCAGGGACAGTCGGAGCGGTGCGAGGGTTGGGCGTCACGGCGGGGGTTGTAGAAATCTACAAGGGGGAGGACAGGAAACAGCCGTAGGGGGAACAGTTGGAGGGGGTGATGGGTGTTGGGTTGTAGGAATCTACAAAGGGGAGGACAGGAAACAGCTGTAGGGGGAACAACACCCATAGGGGGAGCAACACCCATAGGGGGAACAGTTGGAGGGGGTGATGGGTGTTGGGTTGTAGAAACCTACAAGGGGAAGACAGGAAACAGCCGTAGGGGGAACAACACCCATAGGACCACCGCCTGTAGGACCACCACCCATGGGGTGACCCCTAACCGTGGGGTGACCGCCACCACCACCCATGGGGTGACTCCCCACCCCCCATAGGGTGACCCCCAACCATGGGGTGACCCCCAACCATGGGGTGACCACCACCACCACCCATGGGGTGACCACCACCACCCATAGGTTGACTCCCACCACCCATAGGGTGACCCCCAACCATGGGGTGACCCCCAACCACCACCCATAGGGTGACCCCCAACCATGGGGTGACCGCCACCACCATCCATGGGGTGACCCCCCCCCCCACCCCACCCCCCATAGAATGACCCTCACCCCACCCCCCTTGG